CAATATTCAATGCTGACCTGTCTCCCCAGAGGTACCCCTTGAGAGAGGGGGCCATTGGGGTGTGACAGTCCCCCACTTGACCCCGAATAAACATTTTGTTGGGAGTAGTCACCACTTAGGTTTCCATCCTCCCTCCGATACAGTGGCCAGGGTTACTATTGGTCTTCTACATAAGCAGCAATATAGCATGCACAAAATTATCAGAACAGCAACAATTTCATACACTAGCCAATAATGACTTCTGGCTTTCATTAGTATAACACATCCCCCTATTGGCATAGATGCCCCACTCTAATGGCGGTGGTGAAGGCAGCTTTTTCCAGATTATATGTGTGTCGTAACACCGTGAAGGAGGAGGCATCTGTCTGGAATATGGAAAGTTGCTCTCAGATATGCGCCAACAGGAGAAACACATTGGGTGTTATCCATGAAAAATTAAACACAACATAGTTAGAAACATTAACAGTCTGTTGAAAAATGGCGAGCCAAAGCACTGAAAAATTTTGTGTTCATGATCTTAACAATAAGTCGAGGGGTACCCTGGGATCGGTGGTCCTCCAAACACACACTGAGATATTGGTAAACAGATGCGTTGCAGTGGGGGCATATCCCAATGCCTCCTTTTCCCAACAGATGCATTGACCCACCTCATAAAAGTGGCCTAGCACTGCCTTCTCTTTACATACCATTTGAGGGGGCTCTATAGGCCAGAGCTGCCAGGTGTTGCCTTCTGTAATCCATATGTGCTGATAGTCCAGGGACACCATCAGCACATACCACTTTGCCAGGTCATTTGGGGGAGCCACCACCTCCCACGCGTCATGATGGACCACCCAGTCCCAGATGCAGCCTTCCCAAAGGCCTGGTTGGATTTTTACAGCAAGAGCCCACACTCCTTTCATGAAACCAAAGGCTGTGAAGGAACAGGCTATACCTGTGCATTTCCAATTAGTGAGCATCCAGAAATGGTGAAAAGGACATTGTTCCCCGGGGAATCCCTGCATGGGAATGGATTTCCCCGGGCCAGACTCCATGGAGCACATTGTCCTGGCCACTACGGGGGAACCTCTTGAGGGAGGGGGCCATTGGGGTGTGACATGCTCACCCAGTGTTTCATATATCCAAACTGCATTGCATATCTATTTTAGAATGTGAGCCCCTGAGAGCAGAGACTATAGTGTCTTTTCTGTCCTGTAGTGCATCAAATAGACAGCCAGCATTCAATAGACAATAAATAATAATAATACTATATTTTCAATTAATAATACTAAATAATGGGTCAGTGAAGCATTTTGGGTCTATAGTGAGACAAGGAGGAAATTTTACCAGTCGCTTATTACTCAAGCAGTCCATAGTAGCTGATAAGATTTTGGAATAGCATTAGTCTTAACCTCATCATGAAAGTTATTTGCTTCCCCTTCCTAACCGAGTAAGACACTTGTAATCACACGTGTTTGGAGAGAACGGAGAAGCAATAACCTCGAGGAGGCTGGCATTTTTCAGACTACCAATCAAATGAATGGCTAAAAGGTTGTATAAATATGTCTGCAGAGAATTAATCAAGTAAAGTGCTGAGGCTGTTGCAAAGGAGGTATATTCAGCCGCTGAAGGAAAAAGACTTGCATTATTTTCTATAAGTGCTGTTTATCTGACTGTCCTCACCATAAAAGCATGTTATGAACTATCTGAAACTTCATGGTGTGTATATTTTGGCAAGGAGCAACCTGGAATGCTCTCTGCTCTTCATCTTTACAACAAAGAAATATTGATGAGCTCCCTCAGAAAATGTGCATAAACATTGGAATGCTATAAATCCCTAAAGCAGAGACTGAATACCCTCTGTCACCAACAACAGGCATGTACCCTAAGTGAACAGGTGACGTAGGAATGGTAATTATATCACTGGGATGTGAAGCTTTTTAAAATCTCCAAATAGATTGAGAATCTAACAGCACTGCATTTAGGTAGTTCAAACAATATTGCCTTCACAGAGACTGCTGTCATTAACTTTGGTTCATGTGAGCCTCTCAAATGGATTTGTAGGTAACCCCAATGCAAAGAAATTTCAAAAATTCACAAGCATGTGATAAGGTCAAACCAGACTGAACAAAATGAATGACATATATGCAGCGTCTTTGCACATCATTAATTAGAATCTATGACATTTCTTAAATTTCTTCTTTCATGTGTTCAAAATTTTGCAGGAAAACTAATAAAGGATTTAATATGTTACAACCCTAATGCTGAATTTCAAATGTTGCAGGAAATTCAATAATTGTCATGCCAAATATTGTCATGGCTTTGAATAGCAAATAAAATAACTTGTGAGAAAAATCCCTTTTTTAAATTCTCCAATTAATCCTGCAAACCCAAAATTTTTCATGGAAGTGCCACAGTCTGTTGGTAAGATGTGGCCATTTGGTGTGCCTTGTTATAATTGTCTCATATCAAATAACTTCTATGTGACACCAAGTATCTGTATTTATCCACATATACTTTCTATCAAAGCCTTCATAGCTATTAGATGTAGTAGAGGCAGCATGATGGGTGGGCTGAGCGAGGGATATGAAGTCAAAAAAAGTGGTTTTGTTCCTGATTTTACCATTACTCACTCGTTGGCTGTGGGAAAGTGACTTGGCTCTTTCAGCCACAGTAACTCTGTCTGTGAACGGAGGATAATTTTAACATTAAATTGGACCACATGCTTGCCTACCTACTGTGGGGAAAAATAATTAACGGACAAGGAAATAGATGGGATGATCAAGAAGGGGCCATTCCAGAAGCTTGGAATAGTTAGAGGGCAGTGCTGGCGCAGCAGCACCCCATGTCTTTCATCACACCTGCAGCCCTGTGGTTAGAGCTGTGATAGGGATAGCATAGAGTCATTATGCTGGCTGCTACCCCAAGAGAATTATCCTCTGCAATGCTAAATTCATTGGCTATACAGACCTTTGTGCCAGCACAGCAGGCATAACGGGGTCATAGTGTAATGTTGAATCAAAGTCCCATTGACTCTGTTTTCCAGCCCCATGCACGTTGCTGAACACAGAGCCCCTTCAGTCAGGCTATGTGCTCATTTCCAGAAATTTATCCTGAATACTTTCTCAGGCAAAACTCCTGACCATGAAGATGTTACCTGAGTAGAGATTTCAAAGTTCAGGCTAAATAACCCAGTTACCTAGAGAATTTTAGCTAGCGATCCCTCTGGAGAGCTCCACTTGTACAGTAACTTTTCATTCAACCTTGGGGACAAATACACATACACACACACCAGGAGAACAACACACAGACCTGTAAGACAGGAAGAGGATCTCATAGACTCATAGACTTTAAGGTCATAAGGGACCATTATGATCATCTAGTCTGACCCCCTGCACAATGCAGGCCACAGAATATCACCCACCCTCTCCTAGAATAATCCTCTCACCTATATCTCAGATATTGAAGTCCTCAAATGGTTTAAGGATCCCAAGATGCAGAGAATCCTCCAGCAAGTGATCCGTGCCCCATGCTACAGAGGAAGGCGAAAAACCTCTAGGACCTCTGCCAATCTACCCTGGAGGAAAATTCCTTCCCGACCCCAAATATGGTGATCAGCTGAAGCCTGAGCATGTGGGTAAGACTCACCAGCCAGACACCCAGGAAAAAGTTCTCTATAGTAACTCCTATCTTCCCACCATTAGCCTATTTACCACTGATAGTGAAAGGTCAATTAGTTGCCAAGATCATGTTACCTCATCAAACCGTCCCCTTCATAAAACCATCTAGCTTAATCTTGAAGCCAGATAGGTATTTTGCCCCCACGACTTCCCTTGGAAGGCTGTTTCAGAACTTCACTCTTCTAATGGTTAAAAACCTTCGTCTAATTTCGAGTCTAAACTTCCTAAAAGCCAGATTATATCCATTTGTTCTGTGTCCACATTGGTATTAATCTTAAATAATTCCTCTCCCTTCCTGGTATTTATAATCTGTCCTACATCTGAATGCCCTGAAAGGAAGCAGAATGTGTTCTCCTCAGGGCTTTTACAACAGCAGCAGTGAAGAGACATACCAAGCTATGGCTTAAGTCAGTGTTTCTTAAACTGTGAACGGAGAACAGCAGAGTTCAAAATGGCCACCCTTTAAAGGGGCAGGCGACCTTTTTTTGCTCAATAACTTCTCCCCCCCCCCCCCCGACCCTTTTTTTTGGGGGGGGCGGTCAACAAAAAAATCCTTGATGTTCCTCAGAAAAAAAATTATTGTTTGGTGTTCCTCGGTCTTAAAAAGTTTAAGAAACACTGGCGTAAGGTCATGTGTATATGGATGCATCAGCTATGTTATGGTTTCTGTGCACAGTACCCTGGAATTTATTCCTAATTGAAATGCAATAGATTGCCTAAAAGGAGGGAAGGAGGCTTTCTGCCGCCTGTTCACAGCATAACTACAGTCTTTCCTTTTTTGCCCTGTGCATGGAATTTATGTGTATGTGGTATTGAAAACAATGGTGTGGGAAGGGGCACATACCAGTGCATGATGGATGATGTTATGTATTGAAAATAGCTCTTTTATCTTTGGAGACTGTCCCTGTGGAATCTACCAGACTATTGCTTTTTTAAATGAGATATGTGTAGGCCAGCATTTTAAGGAAATTATAAATATTGAACAGAAATCTCAGGACCTTGATTTGATTCCTGATATGATTCAAACAAAGTGGCTCTCACACAGTACATGCTACATCTTCATTTTCCCACCGTTTAGACTTGAGATGAAACAATCCCATTATATTCAGTTTCCTTGTCTATTATTAGATTAAAACTAATTTTCAAAGATACCACGCTACAAATCACTGAGATAGTTGGAGGTTAAAGTTGGGTAATCAATGTTGTTGTTTATAATGAATGTAAATAAAAATAATAAAATGTATTTATTGCTCAGAAGATAGCACTGTGCCAGACACAGGAACAATACCTGTCTATTTGCTGGCAATAAACTGACTTCTCTCTTCTCTCTGTTTTTCACAGTCCTGCTAAGCCAATCCTCACTAGAATGAGCACAAAACAAAATGAGTAACTGCTTTTGTACATCAACATTAAATGGAAAGAAGCTTGGGAAGGAGCCTTCAATGGAGAAGAATGTTGACAAGTGCAAAAATGCCTGTTTGGTAAGCGCTGCCTTCTAAACATAGATCATCCAGGCATGGAAGTGATTTTCTGAAGAGCGATGCAATCATGGATTACATACCAGCTCATTAGAAACTGTCACTGAATACAACATTCAGAAGACATGCATGAAAAGTCACATTTGGGGAATAAATTAAAAGGGATGTAGTTGTTGCTAGACAAAACTTATGTAATATATGCATTGAAAAGGTTTGTAAACTCATTTTTTTATTCAACTGAAAAGCAAAAAAGCTTTAAAACCTTTCACAGTAGAGAGACAGTTAACTCAAGACTATTCCTGATCCAGTAGCCAGGAAACTGATAGGACATCACTCTTAAATAAGCATTTATAAATAGACTCTCTGAATGTTTCCATCTCCTAGAAGAAAAAGTATAACTTTTACTGCAGCATTTCTGCACTTTGTTTATTTCTCTGTATAATAAATTGGTTAAAAATGTAAAGCTTCTCAATTTTTACTGTCTTCAGGTTAATTTATGTCTGTAACAAAATAACAAACGTATAACTGAAAAATGTTTCTGACATATATTGTAGTTCGGTGAAGGAATATATACAGTCTTTCTGAATGTCATAATACTGTTGATTTCCAAGCAACATAGACCTGTTCCTATTTAAGGTGGAAAAATAAAACAATTTATTTACAAAAAGCAAAGAGGGTGAGAAATTACTGACACCTGGAATGTAACACGCAGCAGCAGCTAAAGCACTTTTGTATTTTTTCCTGTTCTTTGTCATATAACCACTTAAATTCCAAGCCCTGTGTTATACAGAAGATCAGAGTAGATGGTCTAATGGTCCCATCTGGCCTTACGATCTATGAATCTGACTACTGAACAAGTACATTTTACAAATAACTATGTAAAAGATCCTAGTCTGATTCACTGCTATATGCTCTGGCTGCTTTGTGTGGTGTGAAGCAGTTGGAGCACAGTAGTAAGGGTGGCCCTTCATGTTTTGTTTTGTTTATGTGGTGTGAGAGGCACAGAATCACTGAGTTATTCTGATTTTAGTGCAACATTTTTGTTGCTGTTCATAAGGTTCCTTGCCAAGCAAACTAATTCTGGAAAGCAACTGAATAGTAAGAAATCTGAGGCAAGAATGTAATCAGATAAATATTCTAGAGAGAGTATTTTAGAAGTGAGCAGGATGCAATTTTTTCAGAAGATTTGGAATATTTCTTTATTATACTTACTGGCATTCAGAAAAAGTAGCTGGAATAACAAAAAATGATTATTATTACAGGTCCCAAATAACAAATCATTCTTGAAGAAGTACAGAGATAAAACAAGCTTTTAATGTCTGATTATAAATGAGACACTGCAAAACAAAACTCTTCTGCTCCTAAGTGCATGCATCCCAGTAATGCTTCTTTGTCTGACAATAATATTTGTGATCAAATTGTCAATAAATAATTACCAGCTATTAAATAATACCATTTTAGCTATCTGTCAAGATATATACAGGGCCCTGATTGTTATAGGAACTGAATACTTAATATACATGCTTTCCAGATAAATTTATAGATTAATTTGAGTGGGATTTTCAAACATTGTCCCTTAGCCAAGTTTGTATCCATTGTAGCCAATGGGCATTTCCATTGACTTCAGTGGAAGCCGTAGTCCAGTGCTGAGCACTTTTGAAAGTCCCACCCCAAAGTTGTTATGCAAGATAGATCTATTTCTAGTCAAAATAAAGATGAGGGCTCTATAAGTGACTTACATGAGAAGGTTCAGAAACTCATTAAGGCACCAATTCAACAAGGTATTTAAGTATGTGATTAATCCCCCTGGACCGAGACAACTCAGATGCTCAAGTTGGGCACATTTAGGCCTACCTTCCTAAACGGGATCTTAATAAAGCTTGTAATCATTTACCAGTGTTGCTATATCATAGGCACACTTTACTCTCAAAAATTTGTAAAAAGGTTTATCTGAATGTGCTACCATATCATTGTAATCATTTGCTCCATAGATTACATTGTATTCCCAGATTATTGCAATCATGATATTTTTTCTTGCAATTGAAACTACATTGGGTTTCTCCATACCATGCAATTTTGTTACTGACTACTGAATTTTGCATCATAGTGATTGTATAATTAAAAAGCCCACTTTACACGTATACAAATGTTGCAAAAATGTGTCATCACAAGACCTTGCAGCGCTCCTGTTTCAATAAAATGTACCATATGTACATAAATAAAGCAAAAACTAACAAGACTGTACATCACTAAATGTCAATTAATTATAAGTAGTATGTTTTTATCTTTTTAACGGTGAACGCTTTCCCTTCCATTCCATTGTAATGTCAAAATGTGTGTAATTTTTTTTATGTCAACAAACTGTAAAGAAAATTGTTGGAATACCTGACTTTCTGTAAAAAACTAAAATAAAATAAAATGACTACAATAATTTTTGTTACTTTAAGATATACTTAGTACTATAGTGCCTAATAAAGGTCTATAATTATTTTTTGTAGCATACTAAAACAGAGTATGCTCAGGCTTTTTTCCAGTTCATTTGTGGTAATGACTGCTGTTTCTGCAATCAGCCTCACTCTTTCTAGACCTTGCACAGGCCCCAAACCAGCAATGTGATGCATTGGGGCAGACCCCATTGCTCATGTGGAGCCCCAGTAAAGTAAGTGGTCTCTGGATGATCACTCTGGAGGGACTGTTCAAACCTCTTAAGGTAAATTTGGTTTCATAAGAATCAAAATAATCAGGAGCTGAATGCAATACAACAATCTACATATAGCAAAGTTTCCAAAGACATCAAGGAGATCTGGATGCCAAGTGCCCATGGATTCTAATAGTCTCCTAGGCATGTTTGTAAAGCTGAACTGAAATATTTTTGTAAAACTGAGTAACGCTCAGAGAATTTTTTTTAATTCAAGTTTCAATACGTCTATCACCAAAGGTTATTCTGTTCGCAGAAAGCAGCTACTATAATGGCCTTAAATGTTGTTCAGTTATTGAGGCCCCCATTGTGAAAGGCACTGTACAATTACCTCAAAAGTCACAGTCAGAGAGCTTGCCATTTGATTATTAATGCTGTCCAAAATCTTTATGAAATGGAAAATATCTTTTCTGAATGAGATACGGCAGTGACCAAGCTCCCTGCTCTCTGTCTCTAATTGGCTGCCCAGGTCAAATTTATTCCTGCAACCCCATTGACTTGAATGTATTTCATAGTGGCTTAAGTCTATACTTTCAAAATCTGCGCACCTGTCAAATTTTGGTGGAACCATAACTTCAGAACTCCTTTTGATGTTTCATGAAACTGGGTGGTGAAATTCTACCTTGTACATAGAAGCAATCTATCTTATTTTCATTCCAATAAACCTTTGTTTACAACTTTTAGAAAGGAGTGAAAATAGAATTTATAATGGAAACTGGGTTGAAACCTTAACTGTGAAGTGTCTGTTGATGTTCCCTAATACATAATCTTCTGATGATAGCCCCAATTGGATTATTATAGTACCTTTATGGATGGTCAAAGTTTGTGCCTACCCAATCGGACAACTTCCTTCATATGTTATAAAAGTGTCATTAGTTTCAGTTGTAAAACAGACTGTCAGTGATTTAAAATTAAACAAACTGTCCAGTTACAAAGTAAACTAGGAGTCAGTTTTTCCAGTTTATATATGTTCATAGCTATGTTGAATAGTTTCTGAGTTAGTTCTCAGAGTGGAGCATTTTCCTCTCCACCAAAGTGTATGGGCTTTTAAACAAGTTTCTACTTTCCAGATATTTTTGTACAGAAGAGAATGCCAGTGTTGTTATATTAGCTGACAAAACCTGCATAGGTTAACTGTTAAAATGCACATGTAGCCATTTCATCTGGTGCTGTGAGACTCTGTATTCTCACAAGCTAGGCCTCATTGGATCTTATTAATACTTGGATGTGAGACCTTCATGGAAAACAGAGATTTGCAGAGAGTAGCTTTTGTGGTTTGGTAGGTGATACGCATCCCTTAAAACCAGTACTCAACAAATGTCTCAGCACTGACTACTGACTACCACTAGTGTTCCTTCTAATTTTTTTCCATCCATGTGTGGAATGCATGTTGTTATATGCACCAAAGCATGTGTTGTTATTAGCCACCAGTAGAAACAATACTCCTAGATTCAATATATACATTTTTAAAAGTTACCAGATGGCTATGTATTCTAGCCAGGACAGGTTAGGAATTTTAGAAATCACTACTCAAAGAATTAAATTTAAGTGTAAGAGAAATAAAAATTATTAAATGCATAGCCAGTCAAAACACTAAAAAAACACACTTTGAAAGAATAAAATTACAGAGACTATATATCTGTATTGTTGAGAGTACTAAATGTAACAACAACACTAATACAAGCATGTGTTGGAGGTGCATGTGAAAGAGACAGTGTGTGTGTGTGTGTGGTATACAACTGGGTGTGTTTGTGTGATACAGATGGAAGATGGGTGGGGCACCAGTGTGTGTGACACAGACAGGGGTGGCCCGAGGCAGGCTGCCGGCAGCTGGCGCCCCAGGTGGAATGCGTGATTGGCGCCCCTGCCTCCACAGCCCTCAATAGCGTGACGTCATCATTGGGCACCCCATTTAATGCGGCACCCTATGTGACGGCCGAGTCGGCCTATACGCATGGACTGCCCCTGGACACAGAGATGTGGTATATGGGAGGGTGACACAGAGATGGTGTCTGGATACGCCGACCATCCATCTCAGATTTTCCATGACAGCCTCTATTCTTAATACTCTATCCTGGTGTCCTCATCAAGAAATTAAATGTCTTGGATTTATAGGTCCATATGCGGGGGAGGGGAGAGAGATTGAGGGAGAAGCCCAGAAAAGTAAATCTGGCCTATGGGAAGCCCTGAACCTCTGTCCTCCTTGTCCCTTCCCCTCACCCCAGGGGGCTGGAGCGCCAGAGGAGTGAGGTGTCTCAATTGGAGGCCACATCATTGAGGGCTGGGAGTTTTTGGAAGAGTTGTTTTGCTTCTCACTTGTGTGATCTCCAACTTATTTTTTATGGGTCAGTGGCCCCAACCCAAAAAAGGTTACCCATCCCTACCATAAATAAAGAAAACATTGAAACCTTTTATATTGGACATAAATTAATATTTTTGTTTATTTAAAATTAAATTTGATAAACTAACATGAGAAAATGAAAATGCTTAATCTGTTTAATAATTTAAATTAAACTATTCTCCCTAGCTGCACCACAAGCAAATTGGCTCAGGCTTAATTATGTAATTAACAGTGAGCTTCCATTAGCAACTGGTGGTCTGCAGAAAGGTTTACATTGAACCATGTGATTCATGGGTCAAAAAGTTTGAGAACCACTGAAATAGAGGCACCTGGTCTCTCTACCCGAGAGACTGCCCTGGACTCCCTGCTGCTCCACAAAAGATCTCCATGTCACTCCAGTGTGGATGATAGACAGTCTTTTTGTGAGTTTTCCTCATTCAAGCAGTTGATGATTTAAACAGCATGTTAAGATACCACATGAAATTACTTGGTGCGTCCACAGAAAGGCAGGATGTATCATCTCTCTACAGAGAGAGTTGTCCTTACTTATGTGTCTGGATAAACAAGCCCTTTGTGAGCTCTATGAAGAGGTGAGATGTTTTGACTTCCAGTTTCAAGGAATTAGCTCTTCTGTCTTTGTGCTGCATGTTGCTTAGACCTGAATGCAGTAAGCATCATCTGTTAAGAAGACTAAAGAAGTTATCCCATGAAAGTGTGGGATAGTTCTGGATGACTCCCAGGTCCTGAGTCAAATGAGGCTGCATCAACACTGCAATGTAATAGGTCTCGGCTCTTGGATCTCATCTTGAATTGAGAGTGGCCCCTTAGCATTGCAATGTCACGGAACCATAGCTCTGGGGCCTGAGTTAATGCAATTGCAGTATAGTTGCATGTGGCGCTCCTATGAGGCCTAAACCCATCCCTATTGGCAGAGGACCGCAGGAGGAGTTCTTACGTGGGGGTCACATGACACTCTTTACTTCTAGTCATGTGTCCCCTCTTCACCCCAGAAGTACCACCCCTAGGTTTGGGGCTTCCTGTGGCAGATGGGTGGGGCTTAAGGGATCAGGGGGCATGGTTAATGTGTCCCCATTTTTGGTTCAGAAAATATGGTCACCATATGTTTGGAAATGGCAGTGGTGTAGCGAGGGACGTGGGGGGGGGGGAACAGTTGCCCCAGGCGCCATGCTGGAGGGGTGCCAATTTAGTCCCCTTCTGCTCCCCCTGACATCCTTCTGCTCACTTGCTCCTCCTCCCCCCGCTGCTGCCGGCCGGAGCCTCCTCCCCACCTCTCCGCCCCCAGCCCAACCCATTTCCCTCTCCGCCAGCGGGTTAGTGCATGTGGGGGCTCGACCCCAAACTGGAGGGGTGGGGGAAGACATGATAGAAGCTCCCAGGGTCAGGCTCAGCCGTGCACCAGGTTTGGGGCCCCGTCTCATGGCAGCGGGGAGTCACAAATTTTGCCTTTGTCCCCAGGCACATAACACTCTCGCTATGCCACTGGGAAGTGGGTGACACAAAGGTTGTAAGACACAGAGACAGCGTGTGCTAGCTGCTGCTGGGTAAGTCTCTGAGAAACCCCAGGTGCTGTCTCCTTAAGATACAGAAAGCTGTCTTGCTCAGTTCCTGAACCCTCTATCTCCCCTATCCGACTCTGCAGAGATGGGGTACATGGGCAGTGGGAGGGGGAGGGGGAGAGAGAGAGAGTGTGTGTGTGAGATACAGAGAATGTGTGTGTGAGAGAGAGAGAGAGAGAGAGAGAGAGAGAGAGAGAGAGAGAGACTGTGAACTAGCTGCTGGGGAAATCTCAGGATAAGCAATACACTGCCTCTTGAAGAAAGGGACTCACCCTTCAGAGTACACATCAGAGCCCAGCAAGATTCTTCCAGAGTCAGACTCTGGCATGCAGGAGAGGGGAGAGACAGACAGACAGACAGATTGTGTAAGCCGGCTTCCGGAGAAATCGCAGCAACAGTGCACTGTCTCTTTAAGAAAGGCTAGCAGTCACTCACATTCCGACTGCAGCACCTGGGAGTTCTCCCCTGAGCCAGGTTCTATGTGTCCTCCCGTCCTTTCCCCCTGTTCTGTGGAGTTGAGGTACAAGGACAGGGGGATACCCTGACACCAGCAATCACCTCTATCTTTCCCTGCACACACACACTGCACAGCTAGCAGGAGGAGGGGCCCCGTTGGGAGCAGCTGCAGGAGGGAGCAAGATGGGGGAGAGGCACCTGAACACATGCTGCTGGCTATGCATTCTCTGTGTGTGACTCTCATTTGTGTGGCCGCACATTCATGCAGCTTACTGGGAGCACAGACTACCTCTGGAAATGAGGCCCCTTACGGCCATTTATGCCTTGGAAAATCTCCCCCCATATGGCTGGATCCTTCACCCATTGAGGTTAATGGCAAAAGCCCCACTGACTTCAATGGAGCAGGAGCAGCCTCTTAGTTTGTATATTGTTCTGTTACATTTTTAAAAGACCTTGGGATGAAAGATGTTAACCCTATTCACGGACTCATTCTGATCTTCCACAAACTGGTTTTATACAAGCA